AGGCTGGCGCCCTACCACTTGAGCCACAGCGCCCCCCCCCACGCACACGCACGCACACGCACACGCGCATGCACACATATGCACGCACTCATGCGCACACCTCCTATGGTTTAACTGCTTTAAATCCACAACCAGTACTGCCATTCCTCAGACGCAGAATTGGTAGAATTTGAGAACTTGTCCCCCGTCTAACCTGCCCACCACACCTGCTGTCCCTCACCCCTGCACCCCAGCCCCAACCTCAGCACGGGCCCTAGGGCCTCGGCACTGCAGGGCCTCTCTGGGAGGGCCTTGCCTGGATCGGTTGCCTGCCCTGCCCCACACAGAGCCATCATCTGCTCGTGGGTCCTGGGAACCCCATTTCTATTCCCAAGAGCCTCGATGTCATATACCTTGAAGGCAGGGCATCGTTGTCCTGGTCCCTGCCCGGCCCCTGCCCAGTACAGCTCCAGCAGGAGCCGGACTTGTCAGTTTGAGAGAGACAGAGACAGACAAAGAGACACAGAGACAGAGACATAGAGACAGAGAAAGACAGAGAGAGAGAGATGGGGGTAGAGAGAGGACCATGATTGGGAGGACGGGCAGGGAGGGATCTAGGGAGGACTGGACTGGCAGTGGGGGTTCCGGTTGGGCTATACAGGGTGGCGGGCAGAGCCCGGTCACAGACAGGGTGGTTCGGGGACTGAGTTGCTAGGAACGGGGTGATCCATCCGCCCACTCCTAATCGCTGCTCCCACCGGGGCGCCGGCTGGACCGGTTGGGGAGGGGGGGTGGACCGCAGGACCCAAGGGGTCCCCTGGAGCGCATGGAGTCCCAGGAAACTCCCTAAGCCCAGAGCCCCTCAGTCCTGGTGAGCAAGCCCAGCGCAGGCTCTGTCCGGCCCTGGAGCCTGTCCAGGGCGCAGCCCAGCACATTCCCTTTGTTCTGCCTGGCCCAGAGTCAGCAGCGGCTGGAATGAGGCCGGGGGCCGCCCGGCTGGCCAGGTTCCTGGCACAGACACCCCACCCCCGGGGAAGCGGCCGGCCAGCAGCTCTGTGCACTGGGTCCTCCTCGGCTTCCCGCTCCCTCAACTGTGAAGAGGCCAGCTCCCCAGCAGGCTGAGCAAACAGGCCGGGCCTAGGCGCATCCGGGATGTCACAACAGCAGCTGCCCCTCGGCCGCGCCCCCCCTGCGGTGCCGGCCTGGCCGAGGAAAGCGCTCCGGGACAAAGGCAGGACTTGCGGGTGGGGACTGCGGCTGTCCGTCCCGACTCCGGCGTGACCCTGCTGAGCGTCCTCCTGGGTGGGGCCGGAGGAGCAGACAATGAGCCCTGACCGCTCTGACCCGCTGCCACAGGGACTGACACCCTCAGAGGCGGGAGTGGGTGGAGGGCTTCGCAGGTGGCCAGCCAGGCAGCGGGCACAACACACACACACACCCCGTGGTGTGAGGATCACCACTGCTGCCCAGCCTGTGAGTGCACCGCAGCCCAGGAGAGGGGTCCAGCGGGAAGCCCAGAGCCCAGGCCAGCCGGGCAGGGGGCACAGCCTTCTCTTCAGACTGTCCTGAGGCCCCGAGCCCCTCCGGCCATGTTGTTTGGCTGCAGGCCAGATACCAAAGAGAACCTCGAGGACCCTAAAGCCCCAAACCTGGGCCTCCCGACTTTGGGAACGGCAGGTTTGGCAAGGAGCCAGCAGCCCAGCCCCGGCCTGGCCCCGGCCCCGGGCAGCATCTAGAGTGGAGGTCAGAGGCTCTGCTGAGATCTGGGCCCAGACCCGGCCCTCACCAGGCCCCCTAGTGGGCCCCGCCACAGGCCAGCGCCACCGCCTGGGACACCTGGGACAAGGGTGAGAGGCGGGGTCCAGTCCCCGGGGCTCCCAGGAAGCCCAGGCAGAGTGGGGTCATCCATCATGTCAGGGTGACCATCAGTCAAATGTGTCAAAAGCCCTTTGAAAGTATTGTTGTGGGAGAATCTACGTGAGCAGAACCCGGCCCCTACATCATGCGTAAGCACACCACCCAGGGCCAGCAAGTAATCACGCTCACCGTGTTGTGCAACCATCACACGGCTGCTTCCAGAACTTTTGTTTTCCCACACGGAAATTCTGTCCCCATTAAACACCGGGTCCCTCCCTGGCAGCCCACTTTCCCACCTGTGGGGACTTCACAGAGCAGACAGGGAGCGGCCCTGTGGGGACTGGCTCGTGCGTGACCTCGGCACACCGGTTTGGCACGGATCCGCCTCCACATTATGCTGCTGCTGTTCCGCCCATTCGGCCCAGGACCCTGGGTTGCATGGTCTGCGCAGGTGGCACGTGGTGGGGTGCGCCGCATCTGAGCCCACATCCCAGTCTTCGGAACACCCACTACATGTAGAATCGCGAGGCCGCATGGAAGTTCTATGCGTGACTTGCTGGGGGACCGGCCAGAATTCTCTACAGCAGCATTTTCCTCCCCTGGACAGAGCAGGGTCCCAGGCTCCAGATCCTCGCAGCGCTTGCTATTTGTAGGGTTTTCCTTTGGGTTTGTTTTTTTTTTGACAGCAGGCAGCTACTGAATAGGAAGAGGTTCAGATACCTTAGAGCCAGACACAGAGCTCAGGCCTGCCATTTCTAGTTACTCAGGAGGCTGAGGTTGGGAGGTGAGGGGTGGAGGCCATCCAGGCAAAGTTCCCCAGACTCCACCTCAACCAGTGAAAACCTGGCTGTGGTGGTGTGCGTCTGTCACTCCGCTAGGAGAGAAAGCACAAACAGCGGACCAAGGCCCGGGCCTCACAAAACGAATATGAAAAATAAGTGAAAAATAGTGGACCCAAAAAGGACTGTGGCAGGGCTCCGCGGTGAGCCCTTCCGCCGGCCCGGCCTGACGTCCAACCCCGGAGTTCCTTGGCTCTGCCCTCTCCCAGCGCCCCCTTCCGTGGGCTCATCCTCACAACCAGACCGCAGCCCCTGGAAGGGCCCTGCGGCTGCATTCCACCACAGCCCGCGGGCTCGCCTCACGCCCCACCGCGGCCCTGCTCCCACTGTCAGCCTGCACCCCACTGTGACCCCGCACCCCACTGTGACCTCCCGCACACCACACTGTGACATCACACCCCACTGTGACACCACTGTGACCCCGCACCCCACTGTGACCTCCCGCTCACCACACTGTGACCCCACACCCCACTGTGACCCCGCACCCCACTGTGACCTCCCGCTCACCACACTGTGACCTCCCACACACCACACTGTGACCCCACACCCCACTGTGACACCACTGTGACCCCGCACCCCACTGTGACCTTCCGCTCACCACACTGTGACCCCACACCCCACTGTGACACCACTGTGACCCCGCACCCCACTGTGACCTCCCGCACACCACACTGTGACCCCACACCCCACTGTGACCACACTGTGACCTCCCACACCCCACTGTGACCCCGCACCCCACTGTGACCTCCCACACACCACACTGTGACATCACACCCCACTGTGACACCACTGTGACCCCGCACCCCACTGTGACCTCCCGCTCACCACACTGTGACCCCACACCCCACTGTGACCCCGCACACCACACTGTGACCCCACACCCCACTGTGACACCACTGTGACCCCGCACCCCACTGTGACCCCACACCCCACTGTGACCTCCCGCACACCACACTGTGACATCACACCCCACTGTGACACCACTGTGACCCCTGCATCCCACTGTGACCCCGCACCCCACTGTGACCTCCCGCTCACCACACTGTGACATCCCGCACACCACACTGTGACCCCACACCCCACTGTGACACCACTGTGACCCCTGCACCCCACTGTGACCCCGCACACCACTGTGACCTCCCGCTCACCACACTGTGACCTCCCGCACACCACACTGTGACCCCACACCCCACTGTGACCCCTGCACCCCACTGTGACCCCTGCACCCCACACCCACTGTGACCCCGCACAACCCACTGTGACCCCCCTGCACACCCCACTGTGACCCCACATCCCACTGTGACCACACTGTGACCCCACACCCCACTGTGACACCACTGCGACCCACACCCCACTGTGACCCCACACCCCACTGTGACCCCTGCACACCCCACTGTGACTCCCACACCCCACTGTGACCCCCTGCACACCCCACTGTGATCTCACATACCCCTGTGTGACCCCCACACCCCACTGTGATCCCACATACCCATGTGACCCCCGCACCCCACTGTGACCCCCACATACCCGTGACCCCCGCACCCCACTGTGACCCCTGCACCCCACTGTGACCCTGTACACCCCACTGTGACCCCACATCCCACTGTGACCCCTGCACCCCACTGTGACCCCTGCACACCCCACTGTGACTCCCACACCCCACTGTGATCCCACATACCCCTGTGTGACCCCCGCACCCCACTGTGACCCCACATACCCCTGTGTGACCCCCACACCCCACTGTGACCCCACACACCCCACTGTGACCCCTGCACACCCCACTGTGACCCCGCAACCCCCTGTGACCCCTGCACACCCCACTGCCCCCAACTCCACTGTGACCCCTGCACCCTATTGGCTCCCACGTCCCCCGCCCCTCTGGGTCCATCTGAGGGGTTGCCACAGTGCTCAGGCCTGCATGACAGGACCGGGCTGTCACCTCCCAAGCCGCCCACTCTGCCCACAGCGGTTCGGCCCGGGGGGGCAGCCAGGAGAGCAGCGTGGTCAGGAGCCCCGAGACCCCCCCCCTCCAGCCTCGGTGCACCGGGCAGTTCATTGGCCTGGGCCGAGGAGGAGGTCTACCAGAGCCAGGCCCAACAGCCCCTGGATGGGCCCCAGCTGCTCCTTGGTCTGTGAGGGGACTCCCCTGGGACCGCAGGGCCCCCTCGACCCCCAGTGCCTGGCTGAGGGCACTCCAGAGTGAGGAGCCCCGGACTTCCTGTCTGCTCCCAGAGCAGCGAGCACCAAGGCTCAGGCCCAGCCTCACCCCCGCCTGCCGAGGCCTTGGGACAAGTGCTGGGCCCCATGGTCACTCCTGGGGCCAACATGGGACGAGGCCCCAGCCCTTCACCCCTGGTCCTGCCCTCCCAGGGCTCCCCATCCAGCCGGGCCGGCTCCGCCCGGCCCCACGGTTCTCAAGCTGCAGGGGGTGGGGGTGTCCTGTCCGGTGTCGCCACAAATCCTTCCTCGTCCAGGTCTCTTTCCTGCTGCAGCCCCTCCCCAAGAGCAAACACACGTGGCTGCCCGGGGAGTGGACAGTGATCTGTGTGGCCTAGGACCTGGGCCCTGAGCCAAACTGTTCTGCTACATAAGCCCAGGCCCCCAGGGAGAGAGCGCCTTGCCCGCTGTGCCTGACTGCCGTGCCGCCCCCAGGATGGCCACCGGCAGCGGGAGCCAGGTGCTGGCGTGGGCCCTCACGGCCCTGCTCATGGTGAGGCCAGCAGGTAAGGTCAGGCCCCCCAGACCCAGGCCAGCTTCCGGCGGGGGCTCGCACCGGGGAGCGTCTCCAGGCGGGTCCCAGGGGCCCTGGCCTGAGAGTCCCACCAGCTCTGGCTCGGCCCGTGCCCCACGCAGGGGCCGACACGGCGTCAGGAGCAGAGCCCAGGCCGGGATGGGGTGCTGGAGAGAAGGTGGGTGCCCCAACTTAACCTAAGGCCCCTTGAGGAGACCCCAAGAGGCTCTTAGAAGGGACAGGAATGGGGTCTCTCTGGGTCGGAGAGGTTCCATTCCAGGGAGCAGCACCACAGCAGCCCTGCCCTGCCCCCCGTGGCCGGGATCACGGCCCCCAAGCAGTCCTCCCGCCCCCCCCCCCAGGCGGCCACGGCACCAGTGCAGCTCAAACCTGGAGCCCATGTGGGTCCTGTACCCACGGGTGCTGTCTGCCCTGAGAAGGCCACAGTGCTAAACTGTGAACAGAGAAAGACCGTCCGGGCCCAGCCGACACCCACAGGGCCCACAGTAAGCAGGCCGGGCTGGCCCGGAGTCCCGGCAGCTGCCGGAGGGCACAATCCCCAAACCCTGCCCTCTGTTGGGCTCCAGGTCTGAGCAGTGGGTCTCGGCCCCGGGCTGCCTTACCTGTGGAATGGGCAAAGATGTCTCCCTTCCTTGGGGACCGGGTTTGGGGGAGGGTGTCTGCAGCAGCTCCCATGGGGACATAGGGAAGCTGGGCTGAGAGTCACCTTGCCATGCTCATTTGGCTCCTGAGGCAGTTTGGCATGCTGGGACAGGGGCTTCAGTCCCAGTGGTGGCTGGGGACCAAGGCCACCACATCACATCCGATGCACAATGGAAGGCACCGAGCGGGCCAAGGCGGAGCGGGCTGGTTGCTGGCCAGCACTGCCTAGGACAGGCGATGCTGACCAAGCACTCTGGCCCAGGAGGGCCTGTACCGAGTGGGGCCTGAGGGGTGGGAGATGCTGTGACCTGGGGGGGCTCCTGGGTCCCTCAGCCTTGCTGTCACCGGGGCCGGCAGGTGACAGCCGCTCAGCCTGATCCAGGGGTGGACAGAGGAGCGGCTGTGCACCTGGGAAATTCAGTCCACGGGGCTCTGGGAAGGAGAGATGCGTGAGCAGGCCTGTCATTTCCAAGTGCCGTGGACACGGCTGGGAAAGTTCACCAGGAAGCCAAGCATTGTGGCACTGCTGTGAGCAGCTGGCCATGTGGAGTCACTTCCAGGGCTGGGGACCAAGGCCCTCGGGGTAAACCGGGTCCTGCCGGCGCCTCTGACCAGGCCTCCATGGTCAGGCTGTGGAGGAAACCTGTCCTTCTGGTGGTGGACAGTCCAGGCCAGTCCGGGCAGCCATTCCTTCACCAAGGGCCACCCTGTCCTGACTCATGGTTCCAGCTGGAGGCCAGCCCAGCACCCAGGCTGCTGCTAAGTCACGCTTGGGTCTCTCCACAATGCTCGTCTTTGTCCTCCCTGCCCCTCGAGGGATGGTGGCTGAATCCCTCCCTGAGCAGCTGCGGTCTGGGATCAGCTCTGCTTCCTGATTCGTTTTCTTCCTTGAGCCGGGAGGGCATCTGCCCCGTCTCTCCTGGGATGGGGTGCCACCCCGAGTGCAGATGAGCCACAACGGGGTCCCCGAGGGGCAGGCTCGGGCTGCAGGCAGAACCGAGCACCTGAGGCCCCGAGGGACAGCTGACACAGGGTCACTGGGTCCCTGTGCCAATGGGAGGGGACGTGGCCCTGAATCACAGCTTGTCCCCATGCTTCAAGTAGGCCCTTGCGGCCAGGGCGGCGGCCTGGTCTGGGGCGGCTGGTACATCGGCCCCCCGCTGACCCGCTCCCCCTTTTCTGCAGAGATCCAGGGCCAGGCAGAGCCGAGTCCGGGGAACCCAGAGCCCATGGTGGACAGCCCGCGTGTGGGCAGAGGTATGACGTACAGGTCCCGGCTGTGTGGTGAGGGCTCTCCTGAGCAGGCAGAAGGGCTGGGCACTGGGGATGGAGGCAAAGGCCTTTTGCGGAGTCCCTCCCTGGCCTCTCCCACGGGAGGCGTCCTGAGCTCAGGGCTGAGTGTCACGGACGGAGGGAGCGCAGAGCAGCGGCCGTGTACACCGTGTGACACAGTGGCAGCCGTCCCCAAGGCAGACGGGAGGTGGCAGGGGTTGGGGGCAGGAGCAACAGGACGGCTTGCGAGTTCTGGCTGCCGAAAGTCCCCAGGGCGGGCACCGAAGTGGGCGGGGCCTGGAAAGGTGTCCTGGGCCACTGGCCACATGGGTCTCTCCTCCCGCAGTCCACCCCATGTCCCCACCTGCCATGTCCTCACCTGCCCGCCACCTGACCTTCATCCCACCCATGAGCATCTTCCACACGAGCCGTGAGTGGATGGCGCCGCAGCTGGCCAGGGAGGGGCGGGCTGGCCGGGCCTCACCTGCGGCGCGGTGGCTGGGTCCTGCGGGGCGGGGGGCGGCTGTCCCTCGTGGGGAGGGGCTCTGAGCCTCCTCACAGCTCGGAGCAGCAGAGAGGTAGGGCGGGCTGTGGCCATCCGCACAGGAGTCGCTTCCTTGCTGCGCGTGTGGGAGCCTGGTGCCAGGGGCCCCCAGCGGGCGGGGGCTGGGTCCCCCACCACGAGGCTTCCCACACAGCCCTGAGCCCCGCACTGGTTCCCCGCAGCCCTGAACCCTGCGCACAACGGGCGGGTGTGCAGCACCTGGAGCGACTTCCACTACAAGACCTTCGACGGCCGCGTCTTCCGCTTCCCCGGCCTCTGCAACTACGTGTTCTCCGCGCACTGCGCCGCCACCTACGAGGACTTCAACGTGCAGCTGCGCCGCGGCCTGGCAGGGTCCAGGCCTGTGGTCACCCGCGTGGTCCTCAAGGCCCAGGGGCTGGTGCTAGAGCTGGGGAACGGCTCTGTCTTGGTGGATGGGCGCCGGTGAGCTGGGCCCCGGGGGGACCCTGCCAAGGCCCGGCCCTCCGGAGTCCAGCGGGTCCACTGTAGGGCGCGGGTAGGGCCCCTCAGAGCTCGTGGGAGGGCACTGGGCAGAGGGAGGACCAGAACTTTCTGCCTAGGGTGGAGCTGCCCTACAGCCGTGCCGGCCTCCTGGTGGAGCAGAGCAGCGACTACATCAAGGTCAACATCCGCCTGACCCTGACCTTCATGTGGAACGGAGGAGACAGTGCTCTGGTGAGGATGCCCCACAGCCCCCAGGCCCAGGCTGGGTCGGGAGAAGGGCCCCCAGGGAGGGGCGGTGAGGATGCCCCACAGGCCCCAGGCCCAGGCTGGGTCGGGAGAAGGGCCCCCAGGGAGGGGGGCTGAGGATGCCCCACAGCCCCCAGGCCCAGGCTGGGTCGGGAGAAGGGCCCCCAGGGAGGGGGGAACCCAAGTCCCTGAACGCACCGCCTCCCCATAGCTGCAGCTGGACCCCAAGTATGCCAACCAGACCTGTGGGCTCTGCGGGGACTTCAACGGGCTCCCCGACATCCACGAGTTCTACGCCCACAGTGAGTGTGCGCAGGCCCAGGGCCGGCCCCGGTGGAGGAGCAGACACAGGGCGATGGTCCACCGGGCGCGTGGCGTCTGGGTGTGGGTGGGGCCGGGCCTGACGCCACCTCAGGCAGCCCACTCCGGGTCCCAGCCCGCGGGGTCCGAGCCCGCGGGGTCGGTGACGGTGCTTCTCCCCGCCCGGCAGACGTCAAACTGACCCCTCTCCAGTTTGGGAACCTACAGAAGATGGACGGTCCCACGGAGCAGTGCCCAGACCCTCTGCCCTCAGCAGCTGACAACTGCACAGATGGGGTGAGAGCCCCCACGGGGCCGGGGCCAGCCGGTGCAGGCAGGGGGACAGGCAGGAGGGCCGGCGCGGGCGGGGCCTGGCCCAGCACAGAGGGAAATGGCCTCTGCCCTGTGAGGCTCTGTTAGGCCCGAAGGGGTCAGGCGGGATGGGCGCCCATGGCGGGCAGGATGAACCCCGGAGGGGGGAGAACCCTGCATGTGCAGCTCCATCTTGGACATGTGTGGAGCCCGTGGACCTCGGTCCTGCATGTGCCCGCACTGGGCTGGCCAGGCGCACCAGACACGGAGATTGCAGGGCCAGAACCCCTCCCAGGAACAGGGAGGGCCTTCCCCAGGAATCCCCAAACTAGCAGAGTCCCTGAGCCCTGAGCTGTGAAAGAATGCTGGCAAAGCCTGGGAACTTGGGCCCGCATGGGCCAATCTAGGAGTCAACAAGGACTGCAGAACCCACTTGGGCTGCCCAAGGGGAAGCAGCACATCTGCTCCTGTCCTCTGAGCTGCTAGCCAGGGAGGAGGGAGCCTCTTCTGGAGGCTGTTCTGGAGAGCTGAGGGGTGTCCAGAGTTGGGACACTCCACTAACCAAGGAGATCTTTGCATCTCAGAGCAGCAAGCTCAGCATGGATGGATAGAACAATAGGTCAATGGACAGATGGGTGGATGATGGATGATGGGTGGATGGAGGATGGATACATGATGACAGATGAATAGTCAAATTAGTGATGGATGGATGGATGAAGGATGGATGGATGAAGGATGGATGGATGATGGATGATGGGTGGGTGGATGAATAGATGATGGATGGATGGATAGATGGGTGGATGGATGATGGATGAATGGAGGATGGATAGATGATGACAGATGAATAGTCAAGTTGATGATGGATGATGGATAGATGATGGATGGATGGATGGATGGATGATGGATGATGGGTGGATGGAGGATGGATGGATGGATGATGGATGAATGGAGATGGATATGATAACAAATGAATGGTCAAGTTGATGACAGATGGATGGATGGATGATGGATGGATGGATGGATGGATAGATGGATGGATGATGGATAATGGGTGGATGGAGGATGGATTGATGATGGATGGATGGATGGATGACAAATGGATGGATGGATGGATAGATGGATGGATGATGGGTGATGGATGGATAGATAGATGGATGACAGATGAATGGGCAAATTGATGATGAATGAATGGATGGATGATGGCTAAACAGATGGGTGGACAGATGGTATGTACAGATGGACAAATGAGTGGATGGATGGATGGGTGGATGGATGGGTGGGTGTGTGGGCAGATGGATAAACTGACACGAGTGGGTGGCAGGAAACTGGAAAGAAAGAAGATGCTCCCCATGGACTGTCCTGACCCCTCTGCCTGGGGGGAGAGGGTGGCCAACTTCCCTGTGCTCCCCAGGAGGACACCTGCCGCCATACCCTACTTGGCCCGGCCTTTGCAGACTGCAACACACTGGTGGACGCCAGCGTGTACGTGACCGCCTGTATCCAGGACCTGTGCCGCTGCCCCACCTGCCCATGTGCCACCTTTGCCGAGTACTCCCGCCAGTGTGCCCACGCAGGGGGTCAGCCGCAGAATTGGAGGGCTCCTGACCTCTGCCGTGAGTGTCCTACCAGGGTCCACATCGGGGCCAGACTGGTGTCCGAAACCTGGCAGGAGGGTGGTGTCAACATGAGGTGGGCAACAGGGACTGGACAGTGGAGAGAACTTGGGGCCTGTTGGGTCCAGATGGAGGACCTGACCCCAAGCACAACAAGAAGACATTGCCCCAGAGCTCCAGATGGGAGCATGGTCTCACGTGGTGCTGGGTTCTGCTTCTTGCTTCCTCTGTACCCAGAAGATGGCATCCAGGAACGCTGGTGGACACAGCTACGGGGAGTTTGGAGGATGGGGAGTCACGAAGTTCAGTGGACATGGACTCAGGGACTTTGGAAGACATGGAATGAGGGACTTTGGAGGACATGGAGTCAGGGACTTTGGAGGACATGGAGTGAGGGACTTTGGAGGACATGGAGTCAGGGACTTTGGTGGACATGGAGTGAGGGACTTTGGAGGACATGGAGTCAGGGACTTTGGAGGACATGGAGTCAGGGACTTTGGAGGACATGGAGTGAGGGACTTTGGAGGACATGGAATGAGGGACTTTGGAGGACATGAAGTGAGGGACTTTGGAGAACAGTGGCAGACACAGGGTGCGACTCCCTCTGTCCACCGTGGTCAGACGGGACACCCCTGTGTTGCAGCCCGGACGTGCCCCCTCAACATGCAGCACCAGGAGTGCGGCTCGCCCTGCGTGGACACCTGCTCCAACCCCCAGCGCTCCCAGACCTGTGGTGACCACTGCATGGATGGCTGCTTCTGCCCTCCAGGTAGGCCCTGCGCCCTGCGCCCTACCTCCGGGGTGGCCTTTGGGGTCTCTGTCTCCAGCACTGAACCCTGGCCTTGCTGACAGCTGGGGGCACCCACTGCTCACTCAGGGGTCCTACTGGGGTGAACACTGGCCATCGGGAGTCTGTGGAGAGAACAGATCAGGCGTCACGGGCCCTGAGCAGGAGGGGAGCTGGCTCAGAGGAGCTCAGTGTTCATTCCAAGAAGCATCCTAGTGTAGGAATCCTTCCCTCACCCCCGGGTTGGGGTCTCCTCTGAGGCCCTGGGCTGGTGGCCCTGCCGGGGGCCTCGGCACCCCTGGCTAGGCACGGGCCAGCCGGCTCACACAGACTTCTCCCCAGGCACGGTGCTGGATGACGTCAGGCACTCGGGCTGCCTGCCCCTGACCCAGTGCCACTGCACCCACGGCGGCCGCACCTACGCCCCCGGGGCCTCCTTCTCCACCAGCTGCAGATCCTGGTAGGCCGGCCGCGCCCCCGTTCTGTCCCCCACTGCCCGCAGGCTCACCCCGTCCCCTGCTCCCCCCCCCCCGCTACTCACGGTCTCCCCTCGCAGCACCTGCTCTGGAGGCCTCTGGCAGTGCCAGGACCTGCCGTGCCCGGGCACCTGCTCCGTGCAGGGTGGGTCCCACATCTCCACCTATGATGAGAAGCTCTACGATGTGCATGGGGACTGCAACTACGTTCTTTCCAAGGTGGGGCTGCGGGCAGCGTGTGGAGGTGTGGCGGCTGGCCAGGCTGGGCCGGGACCCAAGCCCCGTGAAGGCTGTCAGTGTGGTTGGGCCTGAGATGAGCTGCCCGGTGGGGGGAGGGGGGATGGGTGTCCAAGGCACCCCCCAGCCACATTGGCACCTACAGGCAGCGTGCACATGGGCAGGGGGCGCGGGCTGAGCGCACAGGGCAGCCCCGCCCGCGCTCAGCCCTGCCTTTGGGGCCCCCCACAGAAATGTACCCACAACGCCTTCATCGTGCTGGCCGAGCTGCGCAAGTGCGGCCTGACGGACACGGAGAATTGCCTGAAAACCGTGACGCTGAGCCTGCAGGGCGGGGACACGGTGAGCACAGGGCTGGGCCGGAGCTGGCCCCGGCCCTCCTCACTGCCCAGCCCTCAGCTGACCCACAGCGACTGGGGTGCTGGCTTGAGCTGAGGGGAGCCCCAGGCTGGCGTTGCCACGGCAGGAGGGCGTGGCTGGGCCTGGTGGCCGCTGACCGGAGCTCTGTCCTTCCCACCAGGCCATCCAGATCCAGGCCAATGGCGCTGTGTTCATAAACTCCATCTACACCCAGCTGCCGCTGTCCGCAGGTGCGGGACTACCTGGGGCTGCGTCCCCGAGGTGGTGGTCAACTCCCAGAGCCGGAGAGCTGTCTGCCCGCAGGCTGCTCCAGAGTACCCCCCCCCCGTCACTCAGCATGGCAGGGGGCACACTCTCGGCTGCTCAGACTCCTATCTGGCTCCTGTCCCCTCGGCGGTGCCAGGAAGGCTTGGGAGCTGTTGGGACTGGGTGGGGGGGTGGTTAGCCAGTCAGCCCCGCGCTGTGTGGCCCGCCGGCTCTGGCTCGCCTGACTCTGCTCCCCCCACAGCCAACATCACCATCTTCAGCCCCTCCTCCTTCTTCGTCGTGGTGCAGACGCACCTGGGTCTGCAGCTGCAGGTGCAGCTGGTACCCCTCATGCAGGTGTTTGTCAGACTGGACCCCTCCCACCAAGGCCAGATGTGCGGTGAGGCCCTGGGGGCTCTGGGGAGGCCGGGAAGTGAGGCCCCACCTAGCCCTAGCACCAGAGGGGTGGGAACACGGAGGCGCCCTGGCCCCAGGAGCCCCCAGCACACACAGGGCAGCTGCCGGCTGACTCAGCACAGCCTGGCGATGGCTGGTCTGCGGTAGCCAACCTGGGGAAGAGGCTCTGTGCCCTCCCGCAGAGCGTGCAGGCCCAGGGGACGGCCGGCGCGACCGGGCTGATCCCCTCCCCTAATCCCCCCCCTCCACGCCTGGCTCCCAGGCCTGTGTGGGAACTTCAACCAGAACCAGGCAGACGACTTCACGGCCCTCAGCGGGGTGGTGGAGGGGACAGGCGCTGCCTTTGCCAACACCTGGAAGACCCAGGCGACATGCCCCAACTCCAAGAACGTCTTCGAGGACCCCTGCTCGCTCAGCGTGGAGAACGGTAGCCTCCCTGTGGCCTTGGCTGCTGCACAGCCATGCCTGACCCTAGTCATGGGGGCCTTGGGGGCAAAGAGGGGGGGACTCCATGTACACAGGAGTGCTCGAGGGGGCAAGGGGGGAGGGGAGCACAAGGGATAAGGGGAGGGAGGGGGAGGGAGAGGGAAGAAGGGAAGGGAGGGGGCATGAGGGATAAGGGGAGGGAGGGGAGGAAGGGGGCATGAGGGGAGGGAGGGGGCATGAGGGATAAGGGGAGGGAGGGGGAGGGGAGCAGGCTCCAAGTGGCAGGAGAGGGTGAAACCCTACATTCCACCTGTCCCCCAGAAAACTACGCCCAGCACTGGTGCTCACTGCTGACAGACCCCAGGGGCGTGTTCTCGGCCTGCCACTCCACAGTCAGCCCTGCGCCCTTCCACTCGGTGAGAGGCTGTGGCCATGGGGGAGGCAGGGAAGCCCTGGAGCCCCCCCCCACCCCCCGCTGCCTGGCCCAGGGTTTCTGGGGTAGCTAATGGAGAATCGCGACTAAAAACAAAGTCCTGGAGGCCGTGGGAGGGCCCTTGCTGCCATCCACGACCCGTCCATTTCCCCACTTCTGAGGATGTCAGCCAACTTGAGCTCAAGGCTACCTGCAAGGGCCTCACCCATGCCCCACATATGTGTAGATGTGTGTGTGTGTGTGTGTGTGTGTGTGTATAGAGAGGGGGGGGAGAGAGAGAGAGTGCCCCCAAGTGTGGCACCCCTCTCACAAGTGTGGGGCGGACCCTCTGTCTCCAGGAGACCCTCCTGGCCTCCTCTCCTTTGAGCCTTCCAGCTCCCTGGTCCCCTGTGTGCAGGCCTGGCCTGCGCTCTCTCCTGGTGGCCAGAGCCTCCTCTCCGAGCCTCCACCTGCAGAGCTATGAGCCTCGGACTCAGCTGATGCTGGTGGGAGAAGGTGTGGGTGCTGAGGGGCCCCAAGGGACCAGAGGGGTCCCTGACGCCCTGACCTGCGCCCCCAGAACTGCATGTTCGACACGTGCAACTGCGAGAGGAGCGAGGATTGCATGTGTGCGGCCCTGTCCTCCTACGTGCGTGCCTGTGCGGCCCAGGGCGTGCTGCTCAGCGGCTGGAGGAAGGATGTCTGCGGTGAGTGCCTGCCGGGGCACCCGGGGGTCGGGGGAGGTGTGGGGACGGGCACTGGGGTCGGGGGAGGTGCAGGGACGGGCACTGGGGTCAGGGGAGGTGCAGGGACGGGCACTGGGGTCAGGGGAGGTGCAGGGACGGGCACTGGGGTC